AGATTTCCCTCCTACCAACACTTTCTAAAAATGAAATTAATGAAGGGTTGATCAGGAAAACCTTGTTGCTTTGCCAAATTATTAACTAGTATCTTAAAACTTATAACTTAATGTCATTAATTGTGTGACTAACTAAGTACTGCTGATGTGGATCTGATTATGTAAGATATAAAGTAAGCAGAAAGAAAGGTATTTGTTTGCTTTGTTGGTCTAGAGCTTTAAGGTGCATGAGTGGGGTGCAATAAGTGCATTATCGGTAGTATTCAGGTGATATATTCTTTATTCAACTCTAAAAATTAGTCCCTTTTCTAACTACAATTCTGAATAAAGCATTGACCTTCAACTTTTGACTCCTAATCACTAGACAGCTTATGACTGATAAACTGCTAATATTGCCTACTTCTGTGTGTTTATATCAAATCCTATTTTGTGTCATTTATTTTTCAATGAGTTCTTGGGTGGGGAGGTAGATGTTATTTTGAGATTATGAATTGAGAATGAGAGCTAGAGTTCCTGAAAAGCTTTTAACTAGGATATGAGTGGGCATGAGGAAAGAACACAAGGTAGAGTTCATTACATTCATTTGGGGAATGTCTTCTCCCAGTTATAGGTTAAATAGTAGAGCAAACTGAATTTGTTTTGCACTCAGTCTATAAGAAAGAAAATTGTATCAAAACTAGTTGGGTATGAGACCAACAAAACCATCCTTTAAAAATTTATATTTCTAGCAGTGAGCAAAAGAAAGCTATACATTAATTTATTTGATTGACCAGATTTTGGTACTCAATTTGAAATACAAATCAACCTTGACTTTACTACTTAGTAATGATATATGCCAATTTTATGGTCGCATAAGTCATTTTCACACAAGTAATGTCTCGTGATCTTAAAAGAACATCCCATGACCAAGTCATGAGACCAAGTTCCATGATCAATAAAAAGGCATTGGAAGTCATGTCAATGATAACTTGAAAATTTATTCTATCAAGAATACTTAATATATAAAAACCCAAACTGATGTTTAAGAAATAGTCTGTACAAGGACAAATGAATTTAAAACCATGTACTTTTAAAGAAATTGTTAAAATATTTCATTTAATAGTTTTTTGGGTTTTTTTTTTAAATTTTATATGCTTTATTTTCCAAGATGTTTTCTTCTGAGGTATTGCTTCCATTTTGAGAAATTAACCACATTTTCATGTATAATTAACATTAAATGCAAATATAGTTAACTGAACATAATTGTTACATTGGGACAGTGTGACCTTTAAAAGCTATATTACTAATGACATTAAAAATAAAAATCAGTAGAAAAATAGCTTTTGTGGCTGGAATGAAATACATACTCAACTTTCCTGTTTGTAAAGTGGTCAGTAAATAATCTTAGGCTGATTTAAAGCTCTTCACCATTTCTTTTCTTTCTTTCTTTTAAATTATGAAATTATTGCAAAAAAAAAAAAAAAAAAGTTGTGGGTGTTAAGAGGAAACAACCATTGATTACCATTATCAAAAAATTGCAAGCTTCTCTAGAAAAGAAATTATTGAACATCTTTTGACAGTTTAGCATTACAGTTCATTCATCTTGTTTCAAGATTCTCACTGAGGTGTATGGAAGCTCAGCATTGCTTCTCTGGTTTCTGTAACAAGTAGATTTTTAAAGGATGGTTTTGTTAGTCTCATATCCGATTTTCTTTCTCATAGACTGAGTGGAAAACAAGTTCAGTCTGTTCTACTATTTAACCTATAACTGGGAGAAGACATTCCCCAAATGAATGTAATGAACTCTGCTTGTTAACTATTACACCAACACATTTGTACAAAAGTTATTTAGTACAAACAGCATGCAACTCTTACTCACCTGACACCATGGAAGTATCTGTTGCCCATGTGTTTCAGTGATATTTGATATCTTGAGACTTAGAGTGGGAAGCTAATTTACTTTTATGGCTATGTGTTAGCATATTTTTTTTTTTTTTTTTTTTTTTCATAAAATCATTTTACTCCAAACAGGGTGATTACTGAGATTGAGAGTTTGAAAAGAAAAATCATTTAGGAGAGAAGGCAATAAAAGAACAGGATTCAAGGAGACAGATGATGAATGATTGATGTTCAAAAATTTAAGTGCAAAGTTGACTGGAAAGCAAAAAGTCAGAAAAATTCCACAAGACTAGAAACTGTTAGCATAGAACATAGTTACATCTAGCAATTTCAGTTGTAAAATGAGACCTAGCTGCCAATCTAGTACTACACTTAAATTCACTAAAGAAGAAAGCACATCAGAACAATTACCATGAAAATATTTCTTCTAAAAAGTGAACCAACTGAAAATTTTTTAATAGTTTTTTTTTTTTTATATGCATAGAATAGTTCTATTCTATACATAACTTCTGGAATATATATGCAGAAATAATAATAATGATGACAATATCTAAGTTAACACGTCTAGCTAGTATATATAATAGTACTTGTATTCTTGACTAATGACAATCGCTTTTTCCCTGATTTTCAATGTGCAACCAATAGTGCTAAAATTTGCTGAACAAAATGTTAATGCAGGTCATGTTATTGTAGTAAGGTGATAAAAGCTGAAGTTTTGCTTATGTATAGAGTTTACATACAATTGGTATTAAAATTAAATCATTATTTTTTAACTATTAAATACCTACTATAAAATTCAGTATTATAGATATTACAATAAATGCAATATTAATTATAAGTTTTTATCTGGGAGAATAATATAAATTTTTATTTATCAAGAACAAATTTAGGGAAAAAAACTAGGACAAAGACATTGAAAATTTTATATTAATTTTTTTTTTTAGTGTCACCTCTTTTTTGCATGTTTTGTGTAACTGCATCAATGTAAACATCACTTTATTCTGAGGAAATCCTAAAGGACTAAGCATGCTACACAAAAGTTTTTCCCCCTTGTCAGTTTTTTTTTTTTTCCTTAAAGGCCCACAATCCCAAAAATGGGATGGTGGGAATTAAAGGGTTAATCCCACCACTACTATCAGAATGGACTATTAGTGTATGTATAATTATCTTAGAGCCCAGGTAAATTTTGACATATTTGATAAAACTTGGCTGTAATATGTGTTACATAAAGGTAACGACCTATTACAAGATTTTTGATACAGCAGTTCTCAAGTGAAGACAGTCTGCTAAAAAAACATAGCTTCCTCAGTTAAAATTAAGTTTAAAAAAATTTGAGATTTTCATGAACTCATTGCTATTAAAAAAACATTTATAAAAGCCAATGTATTGTTAGTGTATTACTTTTTATCAATAACTGAGATTTTTACATTCTTTTATTTTAATTGAACATTAGTTGAGATATCATAATAACTGAGGCTTTTATACTAGAAGTATTGCAATTAGATAATATCTGAACGTAGCTTTGCTGTTCATTATTTATATTATTCGGACTATTGTCCTCATCTTTGTTGCCATATTTATTACGTTTTGGCCGTTGTATGCTCCGGCCTTCTTCAGGTAGTTGGAATGTCGAACTGAACCCTTTATTTCTCTCACTGGGGTAGACTGTTCTAGTTCCACATGCCATGTTTAATGGGTGTCAGTTATCTCCTGTTAATTCCCCTCTGAAACCGGGTATTAAACTCACACCCTGTCATTGGATCTAACTAACGACTTTATCCACTGTGCCATGTGTCCTTGAGGATATCTGTGTATGAATTTCTGGGACTTTTAAACCTAATGTCTTCAGCCATCATTTTTTTACCAGTGCTCATATTACAATTTTTGCTGTTATCATTGCATGTTCTTACCAGATGGCAAGCCACGCCTGATTTTTCCATTATTGATCAGTATAAGTAGTACTCTACAATGTAACAACTACTCTGGGTATATGGCAGCAGCCCCAAAAAACTGGGATAGGCAGGTACAAGAGGAGGACAACACTCAGATAAAAGTCTGCCTGCCTTATGTGAAGGGGTTATCAGAGAAAATACAAAGGATCTGCGGTCCATATAACATCAGGACAACCTTCAAAAGCTTGACGACACTTCGCAGATATCTCTCCTGAGTAAGACCTCCCATTGAGGAGAACATGACTAAAGACTGTGTACACTATCCTGTGCAGCTGCGAAAAGAAATATAAAGGGGAGACAGGCCGCCCACTTAAGGTAAGGCTTCAAGAACACCAGAAAGCTGTAACACGAGGGGAAATGGAAAAATCAGGCATGGCTGACCACATATGGAGAGTGAAGGGAGATCACCGCCCTCTGTGGGATCAGGTTGAGATCATAGACAAAGAACACCATTGGAAAATTCATAAACTTAAGGAATCAGCACATATGCTAGGCCACAAAAATCTCCTGAGCTGACCAAGCATAGAAAAGAATACAATATGGGAACCAGTAATAAGGAGTGCCAGAGAAAAGCGATAACAACAACAAAAATTGCAGTATGAGCTCTGGTAAAAAAATGGTGGGTTGCTGAAGACATTAGGTTTATAATACCCAGAAGTTCATACAGAGATGTCCTCAAGGACACATGGCACAGTGGATAAAGGCATTAGTTAGATCCAGTGACAGGACCCAAAGAGTGAGAGAACTTTCAGAGGCGAATTAACAGGAGATAACTGACATCCAATAAACATGGCACGTGGAACTAGAACAGTCTACCTCAGTGAGAGAAATAAAGGGTTCAGTTCAACATTCCAACTCCCTGAAGAAGGCCAGAGTGTACAACGGCCAAAATGTAATAAATATGGCGACAAAGATGAGGATAATAGTCCAAATAATGTACATAATACCTCATCTCAGAAATATAGACAGCTTTTCTGTTAAATGGCTTTAACCAGTTCCCTGTCAAGTTTCCTTTTCAATGCTGTAAAACTAACATCATAAGACAAGTTATTTCATGTTTGACAGCAAACAGATCAAGTTTAATGTGTTATGGTATTCTGTTTAAATGAAGACTATCTGATCCTGTTTTGAAAAGTGCAACAGTTGAACTGGACTGTTCCTTGGTTGACATTAACTGGACAGGACATCATATCTGTAATGTACCACTTTTGAAGTAAGCATGCTATATGAGTTGTCAAAGCATAAAAAATCTGAAAAGAAAAAAGAAATTGTAAGTAGTTGGAAACATTTAGTAATAATAAAAACATAGTATAAATATCACCTTTTTAATTATGAAGGAATAATCAATAAAGAGTAAAACAAGTGTGTTTTTATATACCTAAGGTTTTAAATGATTTTTTAAACAAAACAAAATTATCAGTTTTAAAAATCTTCCAAAAATAAAATATATATTTGTGACATGTTATTTGAGTAAAATTAGCAAATTTAAAATTAATCTGATTTGAAATAAACATTACTTACTTCTAGCATAAAAAAGTAATATACAAGCATTTCTTCATGATGGACCCTGTTTTTCTTTCATCTTTATTAATGTATCAATAAATTCCGAGGTGACGAGAGCTAGGCCACAAAAATCTCCTGAGCCAACCAAGCATAGAAATAAATACAATATGGGAACCAGTAATAAGGAGTGCCAGAGATAAGCAATGATAACCACAAAGTTGCAATATGAGCTCTGGTAAAAATGGTTGCTGAAGACATTAGGTTTATAATACCCAGAAATTCCTACCCAGATGGACACATGGCATAGTGGATAAAGGCGTTGGTTAGATCCAGTGACAGGACCCAAAGAGTGTGAGTTCAATATCTGGTTAAGGCAGTGGAGAACTTTCAGAGATAATTGATAATTGACATCCATTAAAAACATGGCACATGGAACTAGAACAGTCTACCCCAGTGAGTGAAATAAAGGGTTCAGTTCGACATTCCAACCACCTGAAGAAGGCTGGAGCGTACAATGGCCAAAATGTTGTAATAATAAATATGGCGACAAAGATGAGGACAATAGTCCGAATAATGTAAATAATGTACATAATACCTCATCTCAGAAATATAGACCAGATGCTATCATTAATGCAATGGAAGAGACTGCTGATCGAGCTCCAATTATAAAATGTTTGATTCCTTTCCAAGCAATTGTGAAAGAAATGAGGATTTTGTAGGTTTTGAACCAAATTAAATAACATTAAAACTTTTTATGGTATTTTTCTCTCATATTTTTTTTACATTTTGAACTCTCACTAATTTTTCAAGTATCAGATTGAATTTTTGTTGAATAAGAATTTTTTTTTTTTTTAAAATAAATCAGCTTTTTGCCCACAACCTCCAAGGTTGCATCTTATATTCCAAAAAATATGGTATGTATGGGTCAATACTGTGTGTGTGTGTGTGTGTGTGTAGATTGACAAATATATTGGTAAGACATGATAGAGAATATTTGATTTGACCGATTCATTTTCCATGGCTTATCAATCCTTTGATGGTTATTTAAAGCAGAATATATTTTTTAGAGTGTAAGACTTTTTATTTTTTGAGATAACAATTTTAGTGATACAAGCCTTACTAATTAACCCATAGCTGGTGGAAGAACAGTATATGTGTGCAAGTGAATATAATAAACCCAACATGAATTGGAACTTGGCTCTCCGATTAACAATTCCAAGCCATTATTTATTGCATCTACCACATGTCCAAGCTTACAGCATCTGGTATTCCCAAACAGTCACCCATCTAGTTATTAAACAGGCTCAATATTGCTTAACTTCAGTGATTGTACAGGAACTAATGTTTCAATGTGATGTAGCCGTAAGCATGGCAGAAAATAGTACAGGCGTATTGGTTATGGAATGGTATGGGGAAGGCTTTTGTCCTACAGTGCACTTGTAATGTCTGATGTTGATATTTTTTTTTTTTAAATTATAAACTAAGTGAAATTTGAGCACAATTTTGTTTTCAATATATGACAACTGCTGGACTGATTTTGTGAGATGTGATAAATATTAAAAAAGAAGCAGCAAACATGTTACCCAAGATTTCACCCCCTATTAAAGGTTGTATAATTATATTATGATTGACAATGTTTTTTTCTTTTTGAAAAGTCAAAGAATGAAATCCAGACTACTCACATGTTCCTGGTTCATTTACTGTAATGATGCCATCAATTGTTAAATTAAAGCAATCCATTCTTTCATTTGTAACAATCTCTTTCAATTCTTCATCATTCTCTTTCTTGAATACACTGAAGCCAATGTCATGTTTGTCTGTTTTGTATTCCCACCTAACCAAATTAAAATAAAAAAGAAGCAAAACTGTCAGAAAATATTGCCAAGCTGTACATATAAAATTCTTATTCTTTCAGCAATTCCTGTGAATTATAATGAAAAAAGGATTGTCAGTTAACTACAAAAGGTCACTTCAAAAGTAATGCCTTCGATTTTATGATGACAGCCCATGAAATTTGAGATAAATTTTGGTGGTAGGACTGTAGATACAGCTCTTAAAAAATCTGCAACAGAATCCAGAAAGTTTCTACAGAATTCCAGCCAACATTCCATTGAGGAGAGAAAGATTTAATTATAATTAATGCTTATTTCATAAGTTATCAATATTTGATAGCAGAGGTATCACATTACTTGGGGAGATGGACATCTTTGTTGTACTTTCCTAATATGTTTATGCTGCTGCAAAAATTGAGGTTTTGTGCCAAATATCTATGTCACTATAATTTTACTTTGCTTGTTTGAAAACAACAAAAAGAATTAACTGCTGTCTTTTCTCTTTATTTTTGAGCATTTTAAGATCTGTGCATAGTAAGGTTATATGTAGAAGTTGTATATTTCAAAGAAAATAACAGTATGTAGGTAGATATTAACAAGGATATTTATTGTTAATTTTAATCAGTATTTACCTTTTTCTGATTTTTTTTTTGTTACAACTTTACTCATGGTTGTTGATCTATAGCAATAGTGTGGGAGGAAAAAGATAAGTAATTTTTGAGTTTCAAATAGATGAGCTGAATTATTTTTTTTTTTTTTTTTTTAAGAGAAATTCACCCAAGACATACCCCTTTTATTAAATCTTCCAAAAATTTATTTTCAACCCTTTAGACTGCATACATTCTAGGACAGATTTTAATTCCTGAAAATTATAAAAAAAATTCCAGCAACTGCAGACACTGTTTATTTAGCTGCATTCACTTGTAGGAGATTCTTTTAATGCAACTTTATTTAGTTATATTACTAAGTAAGATTGTATTGAAAGAACCTCCCACAAGTGAATGCAACAAAATAAACAGTAAATAATGGTTGACAATTCTTTATCTGATAAAAATAAAGATCTATTACTGACATTAATAAGTTTTCAATTAGTATTTCGTTGATCTTCATATATTTGGCTTTTATCATAGCCGCTAGTTCATCATTCTATAATCATAAATAAACAAGTGTGGAATATAAATAAAGAAAACACCTCATGTAAGACTTGAACTTGTATCCCTTGTCCTTGGGAGCCAACCTTCTCAAGGAAGTTGCCATTACTAATTAGACTACAAAGGTGATATGATTACAGTAATTCTAGCCCTGCAGCCTTTCTTTATTTTCCTCAAATACCTGTGCTCCTATGATTTTTCTATGCATTTATAGCTGTTATTGATTAGAAAAACAAAGAACTAAGCATGCCTTGATAAATGTGTGCCCAAAAATTCAACAGGGTGGGGAGGGAGTTCAATGCAGAGATCTGGAGAGAACAATCCCAGAACTGCAAATATGACTTGATGGTAGAGGTGCATTTTCTCTCGGAACAGAATAATGTCTTACAACAGATACTCAAGGAATGTCAGAAGATAATAAGAAGAAAATATTAAAAGACCTGGAAATTAGTCTGAAACAACCACGTATGACAACAGAAAATTCTTGCATATTCTATTTTAAAACCAAGCACCAGTAAGGTCAACAGAATTTGATTTCCTGGTTATTGGCAAAACTTACGTTTTTGAACCTTCTTTTGAAAGCAAGTAAAAGAGCCCTATTGTTTTTAATACTAATTTTCAAGACAAGTAAAAGGAACGGTGCAACACAATATTCCTACTGTTAAGACTCCCAGCACTGCACCAATTTCAGTTTGTAAATATCAGGACTGTTTTGCAGCACTGCTTGATTGGTTGCTTTTATTTCTTTTTTCAAAATATTGTTATTCAAGAAAATAATGGAATTTCTTTTATTAACACTTGCATTGTTGCCTGGCAAAAAATGGAAAAATACAAAGTTTTTTTATTTACTGGAAATAAATGACAAAGACACTGATGGCAATTTTCTGTGGACATTATCATTTTGGTTTAGATCCCGTACTCTACAGTACAGACTACAATAAATGATACCCGCAACACACAATATAATAAAAAGTAAGTCACAAAACAGGTTTTATTGTAGGATGCTATGTTATGTCTACACTTGTCTGGAAATAGCACTAAGTGCTAGTTAGTTAATAAGCACAAACACTAGGGAGCTGCATGTCTTGAAAATTTATTTATATATATGTATATGTTATATAGGTAAATAGATTTAATAGAAGAAGATAGGTTCACCTATCATCCAGTTCATACTACACCTGGGTCTTTTGAACAGGTGTAGAGGTTTATCCCTTGTTTCCGGTTCTTCAAAAGGTTACTTCAACTCTATACTTTTAATGTCTCCACCTGAACTCTGAAAATTTATACACTAATTTTTTTTTTTCTCTCCTTCCCCAATAGGTTCACCTATCATCCGGTCCACCCTCCTCCTCAGTATTTTGAACATGAGTAGAGGTTTTATCCCTTGTTTCCTGTTTAGGATTAGTTTTCTAGTTCCTTCTAAAGTCTACTTCTATATTAATACAACACAACACCACACCACACAGTAACCCTCTACCTTGAGTGGCTCTTGGGCTTTGCATTGGGTGATCATTAGTGTATGTGTATGTATGTATATATATATATATATATATATATATATATATATATATATACACACAGCAACAATATGTTTTATACAGACATATAACTATGTCCATTGCAGCAGTTTTGTTTATATTAGCTCAATATTTCAGTTGTGCCTTCAGGTGAGTGTCATTTTGGGTGACCTTCAGGGAATATGAAACTGAATCCCTTTTATTTAATCTGCAGCAGTTAATAGGTTTTATTCCTCTGTCCATGCCTAGGAATATCTCATCTTGTTCTTTTTAGTACACCGAGTCTAAGTATGTACTACTAAATTCATGAACCAACACTTTAATTCACTAATGGTTTAAAACGGTGGTTCCAAACTGATTTTGGGCCAGGCCTCACTTTGGTACTTCCAAAATTTTGATGCCAACGCACCCTGTAATATTTAATTTTTACATATTCAAAATTTTACTGCAATTCACATGAAGGAAGCAAATTGAATGCTTACACATGCTGATTGTCTTACAAAACATGGGTTCTTCCAGCAACATGCATCAGGCCCTCCCCTTTGTTGACCAAGACAGGTAATACCCTGTACGCCAATTACACATGTACATACAAAATATTTTTATGTATGTATTAACATGCATTAACATTAACACACTCACTCAGATTCACTAGAAAACAATTCACTGTTAATAACTCTTTCTCAAATTGGCCCCTTATTCTGTTGGTATAGTAAGCTGAAGGGTGCACATCTTATGCATGCCCCACGAAAATATTACCATACCCCACCGGTGGGGCATATGCCTTATCTTGGGAATTATTGGTTTAAGGTATTGGTTTGTGAATTTGTTGATATAGTAATTGTGAGTTCAATCCCTGGGTTGGGTAGTGCAGACTTACACTCAGTGGTAATAAATTTGAGCAATAACTGAGCAGTTTTAAATAAGAACAAGGTATACCTTGATATATACAATAGAATGAGAACAATCTATCCCTGTAAATTATGTAAGGGATTTAGTTTGAAATTCCCTGATGGTTACCTTGATTGAGGGGCACAACAGTTGAAAGATTGTGATAATAACAACAAAGTGAATGTAAATAAAAGTAATAAGATTTACATGTTTGAATAAATATCTTATATCTTACTTATTATAAAACGGAGATTGTGTGTGTGTGTGTGTGTCTGTACGTTTATATATTGGATAGGATTTCCTACATTTTTCAACCGATTTCAACAAAACTTCACAGGACTGCATAAAATTACCTTGCGGTGGTTCTGACAGTGGCCAAAATTGGAAAAAACAATTGTTTTTGCACAAAATCAATTTGAAAACACGATAAAACACAATTCTGTCGCCAGAATGAAAGGGGGACAACTCATATCGAGTTACACAAACAACCTGGGTTTTATAATAAGTATATGTGTGTGTTCCTTTATATATGGGATCGGATTTCCTACATTTTTTTTAACCGATTTCAACAAAACTTCACTTTTTGGGGGTGGGGGGCAGGTAGTGTTTCTTATTGTCTTGCACACTTTTTTCTTTTAATTTTACATTCAGAATGTACAAGACAATTGTTTATAATAAAATTCTGTTCAATCGATAGACTCATAACGATTGAAAACAATGTATTTGTTTGAGCAAAAAAAAAAAAAAAAAAAACTAATTAAGACATGCGTGTCCGTCAACCTTAAACAATAATCTTTGTCAATTTTTTTTTTCAGTCTTTATGATGGTCGATACTTGATCTATCTCTTACTGTTACATCCCCGGGCAACGCCGGGCTCTACTGCTAGTCTATAATAAAAAAAAACATTATTTTTAAGTAACTTATTTATCTAAGAATTAATTTACAAATCAATACAAATTTCATGTAGAAAAAAAACAAAGAACTTTTCTAGAAAAGAATGTAGATTGACGAATAATTCTATGGAAAGGTCTTTGAGATGATATTTACTAGAATAGAAAACAAAATGAATGCATTCACTTCTCATTACTCATTTTCATTAATACATTTAGGAAAGGTAAATTATACCCCTCCTAGTAAACTGTCCTTGTACCAGATGCTTTGACAAAGGTCTTGTTCACTGGTCAACATGGATGCCACTTAGAAAATCTCAAACAACCCATCTGCTGGCTATAAAACAGAACCACTTGAGATAAGACCACATTTCCTCTGCTATGTGGGTGTCCTAATTATAGTGTCATAGAATTTCAAAGGAGGAGGAGTCTGATATAACATTCAGTTAAATCTTGAAATGAGAGCAAGTATTAAAAAAAAAAAAGAAACTCACTGTAGAATACTCTCTGGGCTTTCTATTTGAAACTCAATGTATTTTTTTTCTCCACTGTTCAATTCAATTGTTATCATGTTTTCATAGGCATCTGTATTCTCCAGATAGTTACTTTCTGGGACTGTTCCTCCATAGCAGATCTAAATATAAGAAAAGAATAACAAAGATAATTCAAGGATTGTTATCATCATAACATCATGTAGAAACTACGAAAAAAAAGTCATAAAACAATTAAAATATAATAATAATAATATAAAGTAATAATAAAAAAAAAAAAATACTTTTATCTCTTATATTAGGTTGTCCCAAAAGTTTGTAAACACTTGCAAAAAAATTATTCCTCAAAATAAAGACCATCATTTTCCAAGACTTTCTGCCATCGATCTGCAAGCTTTCGGATCTGGTGAAAGTACCATTCAGCCAGCTTCGAATCAAAGAATTCTTGACACGCTTCCTCGACTTCATCAAATGAGTCAAATCGGCGGCCCTTCAGAAAGTGTTGCATTGAGCGGAAAAGGCCGTAATCTGATGGAGCATAGTCAGGACTGTAGGCTGGATGTGGCAGAACCTCAACACCGTCCAGCTCTTCAAACTTGTCTTTGGTCTTCTTGGCAGTGTGTGGCTTGGCATTGTCCTGCTGCATCAAAGTGCGCTTTCGGTTGATCAGAGCCGGGTACTTTTTCTTCAACTTTTCATAGACCTGCTCCAGTTGCTGACAGTAAAGTTCGGCACTGATGGCACGACAATTCGGAACCAACTCAAAATGCACCATTCCTTCAAAGTTCCACCAAACGCACAACATGACTTTCTTGCCGAATCGATCTTGTTTTGGAACCGACGGTGTCTCTTGCCCTTTCTGAACACATCGCTTATCTCGATTGTGCTGGACCAGATAGACCCATTTCTCGTCCGATGTCACAATGCACTTCCAAAAACGTTCGTCCAATGGATTGCTGAGCAATTGACGGCAAATTTCAACTCGTCTGTTGGCTTGTGCTTCGGTGAGTTCGTGCGGATATTGATTTTTCGCAAGTGTTTACAAACTTTTGGGACAACTTAATATTTAATGTTAAAATATGCTTTATTTTAAACTATTTTTCTCATCTTGATTATAGATGTTATAAACAAAGTTTCAGCCAAGTAACCTCTGGTAATCATCAAGTGTCTGTTTGGCTGATATGGGATATCTTGATTACTGTGTTATTTTGATACCAGCTACTGTTTGCTCCTGCTGAATTAGTCTTTCACTAATGCCAGTGGTGTAGTGGATACAGGAGTTGGTTAAAAATGTAACTGTCATCTAATGGTCATGAGTTCAATCTCTGTGTATCACATTCTTGGGGCTCTGCGATCCTTGGTCACGGGACCAATCTTGTAGCAACTATGGGGTTGTTCGTTGGTTAGAATCACCAAATACACAGTAGCCAGACCCTTGGGCTTGTTCAAGATACAAGACACTGAAGTAACCTGTTCAGTCCCAACCTTTGTGTACTATTCTACATTGTGAATTTTTGATCACAGGATGGTCATGTCTGGTTGCTGTTGGAATCTTTGGTACCAAGTCAATCCACTAGGGTGAAGGTGCACATCAATAAAAAAGAAAAAAAAAACAAACAAAATAAGATGCACAGATAATAAGTAACAAAGTCCACCTTTATATTGGTTCTTTGGTTTACAACAAGTATTGTCCCAACCTGTCTTAAAAGAGTGTGACACTTAGGCAAGTTCTCAGAGCTGGATCATGAAATTCTATTTTCAATATGGAGTTCATTCTGTTTTTGGTGTTAGTGTAATTCTGCTTTTCAATGTTAACTTGTTCTGTTTTTCGGCATTAACTTCTATGTGCTTTTCATATTAACTTTGTTGGTACAAGAGTGAAGATTATTTCGTGGTCTTAGTGTACTTTTTCTTCAAAGTCAGAGTTCTTGTTCTTGGCAGGAATCACATAGGCAATCTCAGCAAGCTGGTCGGTCTTCAAAACGAACTCTTAACAGCACTCAATGGAGTTCTCCACGGTTCTCCTTCTCAGTCTTGTGCGTTTGCTTATATGAGCCCTCACTCCATATCAGCATGGGGCAAGACGTGGTCTGGGGTTTCGGAGATTCCTCTCAATCCAATAAAGGTCCATTGTTTAAAATCGCTTACGCTTGCAATTTTTGGTAAGACCTCCTCTTTTGCAAGGTATGGTCACAGGCTATCGATCTGCCTATACACCTTCTCTCATCTATTGGCATCTCACACCAACACTTTTCAAAAGGTGTTAATAATTTCTCCATCTTCCCTGTTGTCTTAGCTGTGCCCACCACTACAGCTACCACCTGGCCAATAACTTCTTGATCTTCATGATGCGATTCAATTTACCTCATTAATTAGAAGACTTTATCTCCTCAATGTTTTACTTACATAGGGTTTTCCGGCTTGTCAGCATTAGAATTAAAATTATCATTCAAAAATTTGCCTACACAAGTCTTTTTCTCACCATGTTAAAATTCTGGTATTTAACACATGGTCCTTCTTGATCGTCCATTCCTTAAATTCTATGCCTGTTTATGAAGAATCTCTGTTTTCCACTTCTGGACAACAGATCGTATCTGCGTTGATCCTAGGCATTCCATATCCTGAATCAGCTCTTCATTAACGCCTGTCTGCTTTCTATTGTGTTTTGATAACCAGCATTTTTAATAACCATCATTCATCAATTGTCAAGATTGCCTATTTGTTTTATAAACTTAAGACTCTATTGTTCTCAGCTTCGAGTCCTTTGACCACCCACCCAGCTGAGTTGGCCCATCCCGATTATCTCCAGCACCTTTCGTAATTAATTATTCTCACACTTGCCACATTGCGCTATCAAAACATTATCCTTTCCACAATTCTCATTCTCTGAGAATCTTAATTTTTTCTTAAAAATAAAATCTTTAATTTTCTTCATTATAGCTGATTAAAAATAGGGATTAGAATTTATAATGAAGGATAGATTATCCTTCATTATATCTTCTAATCCCTATTTTCCAGCATTAAATATTTGAGCTGATCAGTCTATCTTTTAATTCTTATTTTTTAGCATTAAACATCTTCCAGAATTAAATAGTATCACATCTGGATCAGGTAGTGAAACACTGGTTCAGCAGGAACAAATACTAACTGGCAAAACAACACAATAATTAACATATATCTTATCAGCCAAACAATGAACTGAGTGTACTTGGCTGAAATGTATCTATGATGATACCTTTAATAATTAAGGTAAGAATGAAAAAATAAAGATAAAAAATAATTTAAATATATTAACAATTACTCATCTCAAAAAAAAAAAAAAATACAAGTTAAAATATAAATAATAAATTATAAAAATAGAATAAAAGGACAAATTCCAAATTGGAAAATCCAAAAGTTAAAAGATTAAAAACATAAATCAAATACGACTAAAACTGGTGAACATAAAAGAAGAAAAAAAATGGCACAAAGTGATTGGAGGTAACTAAATGCTTAGATTTTATTTTCTGCCAGACATAAGCTCTTGTAAATCACTTAACACAGCAGCTGACACATAATCAATCTTCTCAAGGAAAAGAGAGACAAGGTTGAGGGAAGTTATTCTTTATTTCTGATATGAACTGTTTGCTGACAATTGGAATAGTTTGATGAAAACTAACTAAAATTAAGCTGAAAGAAATGTGACACTATTTAGCTATGGTAATTGGCTAACTAATTAACCATAGAAATTAAAAATGGGAAATACTTAAGGCGAGAAAGAGCTATACCAAAAGATAGACTGAGCGACATTAAGAAAAAGAAGAATTTATTTTATTTACAAAAGGAAGATACTTTTTGCAAAAGACAGAAAATCAGTAAGAAGGAGTGAGACTGTGATTCTGTCAAATTAATTAATGTCATGTCGCATACAGCCATGAAAAAATTTCTGCTTGAGACCACCCTAGAAAATAGCTATTAATTATCTTTCAGAGATATCATTTAACTTTAATTTCTGGTTCCAGTGAGGGAAGCCATCTGGTCTACATACGAATCTTGACATGAAAAAAAAAAGAATCGAAAAGGGGATCATTATTATTGTTTATTCAAACTGTTGGCTCGAAAATGAGCATTTGGTGATAAGAGAATTTTAAGACATGAGAAAAATAAAGAATTGTCGGGTGGGCATGGCCACCCAGTTGAAGGTTGACCAGCGGAGAAGCCAAATGTCGAGTGGCGACAATGATTAATAAGTCAGTAGAGGTCCAAGCTAAAGTGGATTTGGGATGTGATAAAGAATTAATTGGCAATCTGGGAATTGTAAATGTTTTGGCCGAAGGAAAAGGAAAAATAAAAGAAAAAAAAAAAAAATTTTCAGTAATAATTCTAAGAGAGCCACTCTAGTCACGCCCACACTACTGAGAGGTCATTGGGTAACTGGTAGCATGGGTGATAGGTGGAGGGGAATGTATGAAAAAGAGAAGTTGTTAACACCCACTGAGGGGATTGGTATGAGATACCAATGTGAGAGAAGAAGAGTCTAGGAGGATAACTCTCCTTCAACCCTCCCTCACGGACGAGGTAGAAACCCCCGAAACAGAAAGTGATTAGTCTTCCAAAAATGAGAACTAATTAATTTTCCTGGCCTAAGAACAAAGAAATTCTTGTTGGGAATTGTCAAAGAACGCAAACCACGTCAGGCCCCACCCCGGAGTTGGTCGGTGTCCATATAAACAAACGTATCGAGGCAGCTTCAGAGAGTTTTGGCAGAGCCAGACACAGTTGGAGTTACAGAGTCAGAGTGTTGCCTCGCAGAAGCAGACCGAAAGATTTCCATGTCCTTTTCAACTTAGTCTTCCTACCAAGAGCAAGTTTTTATTGACGAATGACTTAAGATACCATAACTCACTTAAGAAACGCAAAAAGTGTCACAAATCCATAGGAATGGGCTGGGAGAGAAACACACTCCTGTATTCAACAGATAGATAAAGTTAATTGTTATTTCTCAACATATTTGAACCTCGTGAGTTTGTTTTATTATTTTTCTTTTACTTACGCTTGTGCGGTATCACCTTTACCCCAGATTCAGCTTGCACTATGGCCTGACACCTGATTGATTTCATCTACTTAAGATCAAAGTCACAACGTGGGTAGGTTAGACTTGAGATCAAAGCAGTTACTTCAGTGACCAAGCGTTGGAGGCGAGCTGAGAACGACAAAGCTGGTATCGAACCATGTATAATATAAACAAAAATAGAAGCATAAAAAACTTCAGTTCCTACTAGGGATCTTTGTTCCACTAGTCACCATGAAAAGAATAAAATTGGAATCACCAATTCTCTTACTTCATGAGTAGGAGTGCCAAAACACATCCAAACGTCATGCATGTGACTAAAAACCCTTTCAAATTTATTTATAACTTGTGTCATAGGGAAATGAATTTATTTTTATTTTTTTTAATTCTTTATTATTATTTTATCTATTGTTTTTTTTTTCTGACAATAGTCAACATCTGACAATTGAGGCATCCATTGCAACAGTTCAATATTATTGCCTTCAATGTAGACTGACTAGGAAGTAGGTTTCAGGTCATTACCATGATTGATCCACATGGTAGCAACTATATTTGTATATCAGATTTATTATCCATTATTCCTTTAATTCCATGACATACTAATGCACTGTAAGTGGAACTCTTCATTTAAACTTCTCTTAATATACCTGTGACTGTAAGATATTAAATTTCAATCTGTTACTTTATATCACTGTAGACCACTGTACAAAACTCTAATCCTTGGGCTATTAGAAAAATTGAAAGCATGCCTTCTCTTTAAGAAAACATTGCTTTTTATAAACCACTCATCCCAGTGCTGAATTATCAAAGAATGACCTATTATGTACTGCAAGTGACAATCTTGGATTTATTTTGATCTGTCTCAATATTGCTACTCAGTCTATCATTATATGAAACAGTTACATGGATTTTGCAATCAGAAAATAGTATAACTTGAAACATGGTTGATAACTTTCTCCTTTTTTGTAATGGCTGTGTAGCATGGATATCAATGTATGTATGTGCTGTTGTGTTATTGTTGTAGAGTAGTTTCACAGTGGAGGCTTGTATTTCACTAAGTCGGTCCTAAAAAGGTTCAATGTACAAAACGTTAGGAACTTGATAGAATAGATAATGACGCAGAGAAATCTAGTGGTGGTCGCTGATACTTTTAGTATCCGACTAACGGTCGTCCGGCATCGACTGACTGACCAACTCTCTGAGCCACTGACGACTTCTACTACTCCTACTTATTATAGGTGGGAAAGTCTATTAACTATAGAATAGGTGTGTTTCACTATAACAGTTATAAAGATTATGCTTTTGTGAAAGATCAAATCATGGCTCTCACATAAATAATGTCATATGTAAAAAGGTTGTGTTTAATGAGTGAGAGAAACATATTGCTTAACATTACAGCCCCTGTGCTGTATTAGGAAAATTGTGTTTTTGTAGAAGACAAGAGCTGAGTAGCAATTTTCTTTGATTAAAAAGGTTCATATGAGTAGTCTATATTTCCAAAGCTACAGGGAAATATTAAATATTGTCAAAAACATTTTTATCTCATGAAGACGGCTCAACTTCACATTGCTGTAGCCGGAGTGAAAAAAACAAAAAGCTCATTTTCATGCCTTAGCAACCAGCATGGAAAGAAAAGAGATCAAGGCCTGGGTTACTTCCATTTATATACCATTTTAATTTTAGCATTTAAAATCTATTAATGAATATTTAAAGCAAAAGAAATCAGACTGATTGCTAATACATTTTGAGCACAACTTTTTTTATTTTGAAAGATCAAACTTAAGAAAAAAAAATGTTATAAACAACAAAAGAGAGGATTGAAGAAAAATCTCTCATTTCAGATAAAAATTGACAAATAGATTAAAAATTTCCATCATACCAAAGAAGTACACTTGGGATTGCCATCAGGGTCAGTTTTCTTTCCCCCAAGGTAGGCTGGTAATTCTTCACCATCAATATATTGAAGAAGAGTTGTTTGGTAATCATCTGTACGAGAGAGAAAGTGAAATCAAATTATTTTCATTATGCACTGTTTTCATTTTTTTTTAAGCAGTTCATTGTGTTTCTTCATAAACTTTAAAGGGAGATAAGCTGACAATTGAGAAATCTTTACTGAAAAAATGTGCACCCACTGCCAACCCATTGCTAAATCCATTTTATTGTCTACACCAAAAAACAAAAAAAGACCAAAAAGCAACAATTGAAAGCAATAGTAAATAAAAAGAACATATTTATAGTCATTTATACATAATAATAATGGCAGTAATAATATTAAAAGGTTTACTTTTTATATGCTTGTAATTAAGTAAATATGTGATTTATTTTATTTGAAATTAGAAATATAATAAGTTATTGTAAATTAATATAATAAATTATAATCAAAATTAATATTTTTTACAAATTCTGAATATAAGAAAGAACAAATATAAAATGGAAATTGTTTTAACTTATAATAGAATCTGTCTAATCTTATGCAAGTATATTTTTCACAATGTAATTAGTATTAACCAACCAATATTGGAAAAAATATACATATTTATATGATAGGAGGCATGGTAGGGTAATGGATAGCGGCTTGGATTGAGGAATCGGAGAGCCAAGTTCGAATTCCAGTCAAATCCATTACATTCACCTACATGCTAATATCCTTGGAAAAAGTATGAATCCTCTTTTTCTCCCCCCAGCTATGGGTAAACAGCAGGACAGACAATAAGCCTTGAATGGCAACTGGTCTAGGAGAAGGACAACTCTGAATTCAAAACCTGTGGAGTGTCATTTGGGGAACTTGTGGCACGTAGTGCACCAGGCCTCTGTATTCATCCCTTCAAAAAGTGTGGTTGGTTCTGCACAAAGCCTATCACCACTATAATCAAATCATGTGTGCTGGTGTCTGGGCTGTCAGTTCCTACGAATTGAGCTGCTTGACCCTCATATGTCAAATACGATGAGAGAGTCCACCATTTATATGATAAATATACCATGTAAATTTCACTTTTTTTTTTATTTGAAATATTTACATTTATTTGTTGGTTTGGGATTTTATTATACAACTTGAGAATTGTTCATTAAAAATATATTTTATAGTACAACTACTGATATTTATTTTTTGATTTCAAATATATGAAAACTGCCATAAGAAAGTAATAGCATCGAAAGAGAAACAAGATATTGCAAAGTTATTGTGTGATGGAAATGCCACATTAGAAATTGCAAAAGTTGAACAGATCATAGAACAAAAGAAAATGGAAAATATAGGTAAGAAAAAACAAAGGATAATAAATATTGCAAAAAGAGATTTGAGAAAAATTAAAAAAAGCCCAAAATAAGAAAATAGTTGAGAAGCTGGTGTTGCAGATATAAACAGAGAAAAGATATAAAATATTAAGAACATTGATGAAGGCAGCCAAACTACCGCCTTTAAGTAAGCATCACTAAAAGAAACAAGATGAACGAAGTAAATGAAAACTGATTTCTTAACAGCAATTTTTAGAGATGAATGTAGAGCTACATTGGCTGAACATAATGGTTGAGCTAGATGAGATCCTTCTGACAAATGGGCCATCTATCAATTATATTAATGAATATAAGAGAGTCTAGCAGTACAGTTTATTAAATTGTGTCATATAATGGAAATATTAATTGTAATCCAATTCAGAGACTGTATTTAAGCAACTTAAGAATATATCTGAAGTTTCCCACCATTTTACTTTAGATCAGAAAATGGTATAGATAAAAAGTAAATGCTTTTATCATGTACAAAACAAATATTGGCAATTTTTATATACATATTATTTACAGCATTCAGAACTTTTGCATATAGTTAACAATAAAAATTCATTGTTGATATTTTTAACTCTTCATTTTTCTGTCTGTATAATTTTGACTATTTCTATTGTTCTACACAGCAAGAAATTAACTGTGTGGAAGAACAAAAAAACAACCGACAGAATTTGAATTCTTAATAAGAGCAGCAATCAGATTTCAGTTGATAACATAGGCCAAGTCATTTTTTTTTTCTTCAATTACTGACTTAATTCTTTTAAGATTCTCATTGCCTGATGCATACAGAAAGCCACCAACATTTGACATTCTATATTTTTAAAGCTAAAGTCATTATTAAAAATACAGTTATATAATTCCAGATATCAGGTAGGATTTATTAAATCTGTCTAAACTTCCTTTCATTCTATTGATTACATATAGAGACTCTGAAGAATGATTTAATAAAGAACAAGAAGAGAGACATTTATGAATTTGATATGCTTTACTATTTAGTTTCATCAGAAATCTTTGAAATTGAGATAAGATGGAGTTGTTTCAATTTTTAAATTCTATATTGCTTTAAACAGTATGTATCAGCAAATTATATCTTCAATAGTTTTTTCATTTTGTTTATAGTTAAGGTGGGAGAATAAGTTAATGTAGTTTTTATTTTTGCTTTTATCAAGATGCTGGTTTGTGTTAATTTTTTGAAAACTTTTTGAAGCAATTTTATTTAATCATCTCCATATCCAGTTTACCCACAATTCTGTGCAACAAATTCTTTGAAAACTGGGAAAATGCAATAAAATTCAGACCTTGTCAGTTAAATTTAATAAAACTTATTTAAATGAATTCTTCCTATATGTTTGTGAATGCTGGATAATTTTCTTGCAGATGAAAAGAGATTTGAGCAAATGGAGATGCTGTTCTGCAGAAGGATGCTGAGAATATCATAGAGAGAACATATGAGCAATGAAGAAGATTTAAGGAAAATTAAAATACAAAGGACACATACTTAGATTCAGAAAGACACAAGAGAAAAGAAAGTTTGAATATCATAGGATATATTGAATTCAAGAGGAACAGAAAGAAACAGCAAGTAATGCACCTAACAAGCTTGTGTAAAAGACAAACACTGCTAAAAGATACAATGAATAGGAATTTATGGAGAGCCGTAATCGGTCACATCCTGAAGGAACACATCACATAGATTTCTAACCAACCATATACAGGGTGTTTCAAAAAGAATACACCAAAATCATTACGCTGTTTTTTCAGGTCTATAGCATTGTAGTGGACTGAATCAGTGGTTATTTGATAGAGTAGTTATCAAAGTTTGATTGGGTGTCAGTTTCACCGCTGTCGTTAGTATAACTTCCGGTGCAGCTACAAACAGGACAAACCTATCTCGAAATGCTCCAAAAATGGCTATTCACTTTACTGCAAGCAGATTTGAATGACTTCATTTTTCAGCAAGATGGAGCACCACCCCATTGGCATCTCAGGGTTAGAGCTTATCTGAATGAAAACGTGCCTCAGTGATGGATTGGGAGGAGAGGTGCTAAAGACCTTGCTCTCTGTGCTTGGCCTGCCAGATCCCCGGATCTCACTGTGTGTGACTTTTTCTTGTGGGGGTATGTTAAAGACCAAGTTTATGCTCCAGCACTTCCAGCAAGTATCGATGACTTGAAAAATCGAATAACAGCTGCAATCAACACGGTGGACTGTGACATGCTGAGGCGCATTTGGGAGGAATTCTCATATCAGCTTGATGTTGTCCACGCTGCCGGTGGTGGCCACATTGAGCACTTATAAAACATGAAATGAAACTTGAATGTATATATAACACATGTGTTCATGCTAGAGGTTTGTAATTTTTTTCGTTTTTGACATATCACGTGATGATTTTGGTGTATTCTTTTTGAAACACCCTGTACTCCTCAATGAGTAATTTTGGTGGTAATGTCAATGTTGATGTCACATTTGTTAAGGAGATAGATACTCCTAACCATTTATCAGATACTGGTCAAAAGCTCCATTGCTGCAACTCTTGTGATATCTCATATACTTGCAATGCCCATGATACCTTGGGGATTGCACCAAAATACACATGGTGCAATTTATGTTGGAAATTAGGTAACATTTACTAACTGGGCATAAGTTATCTTTCAGCTCTTTCACTGGTTATTTCCCACTGATTAAATGACAATCAGTAAGGAATTGCAACAACCAAGACTAAACATTTCTTTCATACTTTCTACAGATTTCAGTCACATCAACAGAGAATTTGATTTCCTAGTTTCCTTTATTAAGAATAGAATGCAGTATTTAGCCAGCTTAATTCTCATTCTTGCCAAACTGAAGAGTTCTTCAACTCAGGTGTTTCATGTGTGATTTCAACTCTAAAATGACTATTACATCTCTATCTTTAAATGGCAGGATGTGTGTGTGTGTGTGTGTGTGTGTGTGTGTAACGAATGCATGGCCGTAATTTTCGATGGATTTGCACCAAAATTTACATGTAGATGCTCCAAGTTAGCAGGAAGGCCAAGACCAACTTTGCATTTCCCAACTCCCATTGATAGTGGAAATAATTGATTTTTTCATGCTTCTATGGCAGTTTTCATGTAGTTTGCAGCCATTTTGTACTGGCCAGAGTGAGAGCCAATAACTGGCTGTCACGAATAGGCAGGAAGATTCTATTGGCCAGAGTGAGAGCCAACAGCTGACTGACATGAATGTTAACTAGCATGCTAGCATGCAAAAAAAATCAATAGCTCTCATTCGTCACAAGTGGGAAAAATTTAAATCTGCATGGCACTTTACTCCAATTGGCTCATATTTATATGGTCGGTACTCCATTATGCAAATTAGGTGGATCCTACCACAACATATAATTTATTTGAAAATTATAACATAAATGTTATAAAATCACTACAAAAATAGCCATTTTGTTTCAATACTTCTGGTGTCTTATCAAGTGATGGTCTTATTTATGTTATAATTTTCGAATAAATTATACATATGAAAAATAAATAAAAAATGAAGAGTTACCTCCCTTATGCTGTGGAAAAAATGTGAATGTTGAAATCTAGAACGCTGCATGACAGTAAAACGAACAGTTGAAATGCTTTGAATTTACAGAAATACATATACACATTCACAGACAATTTAACCTCCTGAAAATGATCTCATGAAATTTATCCATGAATTTGAAAGGATCA